GGGGGGGGGCAAATCATTTGTTTGTTCACCATTAAGTCCTTTGCCTTAATGCATATGATACTCCATACCAAGATCAGCTAAAATCATCTCTTTGATTGCTCTTACCGTAACTAGATAGCTGTTCTAAGTAAATTTAGACAAATGCCATGCTTACTATCCTAATGTTCTAACCCCCATTTCCTACTGTCCCATCTATACATACAATTTCATGTAATTTAGGTCAATGAAAACCAAGCACTATGAGGTCCAGAGTAACATTTCAGCGTTTCACTTTCCACATATTTTAATGGCAAAAGGAGTGAATAGGTTTCCACATCAGGCCACGCCCACTTAAATAGATCTCCCTACAGCAACATCCAGTGGGAACATACTATCTAGAGATAGTAAGCGTTCACATTGTTTATGGTGGGATACAGACCTATAGGATATATAGAGACCTTATATTGTGCATCCCCATATATAGTTTATTTTACACACAGACTCAAGAGCTAGAGCACTATCATTTAAATGTAGAATGCATTAATGCACTCACAAATTTTTCAATAACTCTGGTCCTTGCCGAAATAGTATTGCAAAAATAGTTCAGGTTTTATTTATTCCCCAACCCCCTCAAGTCCCCTATCATAAACATAACATCATAAAATGTTGATGTTATAAAACATACCTGTAAGGTTAATAAATAGTGGAACTTCTATTCCAGAAATCCTCAAAATGTTATAAGCTAACAAAACCAAAATAAATCTTACCTCACATAACATGAAATACGGCCAGTTTTCACACACAAGTTCAACAAAGTCTCACATTCGATAAAAACTACTTCCTTAATTAATTTGTGAAGTGTTGAGTCAATCCCATGCCTGTTTCTCCTGTGTGAAGTGTTGAATCAATCCCACGCCTGTTACTCCTGTGTGAAGTGTTGAATCAATCCCACGCCTGTTACTCCTGTGTGAATTGTTGAATCAATCCCACGCCTGTTACTCCTGTTTGAAGTGTTGAATCAATCCCACGCCTGTTACTCCTATGTGAAGTGTTGAATCAATTGTTTCAGTCGTCCTTTAGTAATCTATGCAGTGTTTTACTTAATAAATCGAAAAACATTTCCGACATCTCTTATATATCATCCTTCTCCCCCCACTTCCAGTTTACGTCGACTTTTTGAGGTCAGTAATGAGATTTTCAAGTTTACGTCGACTTTCTGTGGTCAGTAATGTGAGTATCAGTCTTAATAAATTTATCTGCATTTAATGCTTCACTGCTGACTGCGACATAGACCACACCTCATCATTAGAGCGGTCATTAATCCATGTTCTCAGTGGTCACTACACCATGTCTAGTGACCACAACTACACAATAACATAGCTAAAATTATCAGGCATCCTTCCTATTTGGTAGTCATGACATTTGGCGACGGATTTGAGAGAGAAACCTTTTTCTTGGCTCATAATTCACAAGTCTTTGTCCAACAAGGTACCTGTAAAACATTGTAAAATTATGTACCACATTGTAGAATTATGTACCACATTGTAGAATTATGTACCACATTGTGGAATTACATAAACACATTGTGGAATTATGTACCTCATTGTGGAAACTTTGTACCACATTGTAGAATTATGTACCACATTGAAGAATTACATAAACACATTGTGGAATTATGTACCACATTGTGATATTATGTACCACATTGTAGAATTACGTAAACACATTGTGGAATTATGTACCACATTGTAGAATTATGTACCACATTGTGATATTATGTACCACATTGTAGAATTACGTAAACACATTGTGGAATTACATAAACACATTGTGGAATTATGTACCACATTGTGATATTATGTACCACATTGTAGAATTACGTAAACACATTGTGGAATTACATAAATACATTGTGGAATTATGTACCACATTGTGGAAACTTTGTATCACATTGTAGGATTACATAAACACATTGTAGAATTATGTAACACAATGTAAGATTATACAATTCTGTCAAAAGCTATCTTTTATAATACTGATATCTGAACTATTTTGTTTCAGAAATTTCCCTCCTGATCAAATATTCAAAATATCAGATATTGATATCATGCATAGAATGTATTTAGCATGTCTAATTTCATGTCAAACAAAGGTGACAGACCATAATTAAAGTTCTCCTTCAGTTGAATATGTTGTAATAATTTTATATCAATGCTACAAGAAGGCACTTACTTGTCATTTTTAATGTGCTCATAGAGCCGTTTAAACTGCCGGATTTGGAATATTCCAAAAAGGACAAATACAATACAGGCTAGAAGGAACGGGTATATCCTCCTCAGAACCAGATTCTGAGTCTGGAAATTAAAACCTGGAAAACAAACCCATTAATAGCATTAATCCCGAAATATTTTATAATGACTCACATCCACTTCTTATTTGTAGATATTGAAAAAATTAAACAATGTACACCATTTTCCCTCTAAATTACTACCCTCTAAATTACTAAGAAATTTCAAATACTAAAACATTTCTGTTCGAGTTTTTCATTTCATGGTATCTAGCATTGAAGTATTTAATGATATCCATATTTATGCTAAAATCAAAAGTTGGAATATAAGATACTTACCTAGATAAGGAACAAAACTTTTAGCGACGACGTATGGCAGAGAGAGGGACATGCCTAGGATACCAACCACTGGGGCACACAACTTGGTGAGGATGAATCTCAGGTTCATGTTACGAATGCCGTCATTATAAACCTGGGGAACCAACACAACAAAGTTTTAGTGAGGTGTACATATCAGAGCTACATAATAAGATGTGGGTATCTGCTCAACAAAGAAATGCAAATTTAGTGTTTAAATACTTGTTAAATAGCCTGGTGTCAATAACATCAGATTATTAACATACACGTTAAATAACCAAGGGTCATCAGTTTTATGTATCTATTCAATGACCAATGGTCAACAATTTTATGTTTCGATGACCAATGGTCGACAATGTGATGTACCTGTTCAATGACCAATGGTCAACAGTTTTATGTATCTATTCAATGACCAATGGTCAACAATTTTATGTTTTGATGACCAATGGTCGACAATGTGATGTACCTGTTCAATGACCAATGGTCAACAGTTTTATGTACCTATTCAATGACCAATGGTCAACAATTTTATGTTTCGATGACCAATGGTCGCCAATGTGATGTACCTGTTCAATGACCATTGGTCAACAGTTTTATGTACCTTTTAAATGACCAATGGTCAACAGTTTTATATAGTTACCTATTCAATGACCAATGGTCAACAGTGTTATGTACATATTCAATGACCAGTAATAACCAATGTTATGTACCTATTAGTTGACCAGTGGTCAGCAGTGTTACCTACCTGTTCAATGACCCTCTTGAGCCACCACGCAGGTCCCATCATAGTCACTGCACACACAATCTTCGCATGGAGGACTCCTAGAGCCCAATCCTTGTAAACAGAAAGAACATCGTGATAAATTACCTGTAGTGAGAGTCAAGCTACTAACTTTCTTTTAAGGCGATTAAGGTCACTTTTATAACTTAATACAGTCACAACTTAATATCTAGAAGAATCAAGATCACAAATAATCTGAAGTAAGGGTCAAGATCACAAAATAGTGAACTAATTCATATCCTTTAATCTGAACACTTAGCTATATGTAATAGTTGAAACAATACTGAAGTCTCTTGTGAATATTATTTAATTTAAACTTAAGTTTTACTTAGCTATTGAAGTAATTTTTATACCTAAATACATATTCAGGTAAGTACTTAAGAGTCTTTTTCAAACATGAACTGAAATTAACAAAGATATGTTGATAATAAGTTAAAATCCTATCACTTACCTGCCAGGGAAAAAATATAGGTGTCTGTTCTAGAGGCACACGTAGGGGAGCCACTACGACCAGCTCAAACAGCAGCCCCAGTAACAGGGGCACCACACCAATCAGTAACACAGCCACAATGATACACTTCATGGCCTGTAAAAGACATCAGATCAGTGTTCATATAGATAATGTAACAAAGTACACTGTACTGGAAACATCCTCCTCGATACTCCAGGGGTTATGCTCACTTACGCTGTCTGCACCCCTGGAATATGTCATAGTAAAATCAAAGGCTCAGTTTGCACCATCTTGTGGATGAGACAAGAAGACTAGTTTGATCCTTTGATGTACATCAAAATAATCTGTCGACACGTAACAGTAAAATTGACTGGCTTTGAAGTCGGGTGTTGCTTTTCTGTAATCTACAAAGGACAGGTTTCAGTCTTAGCGATTGGTCAGGTTTATTTACCTGAGACCAATCAAATAGCTAGTTGCATGCCTTCAATTTTGCTATGACATATTCCAGGGGTGCAGTGAGCGAAAGTGAGCGTAAACCCTAGAGTATCGAGGATGTGAAAGGGTCAGCCAATCGTAGTGCCATCCTTGAAATAAGGAGCCAGCTTTATATATTGTAACAATTTTCACAGAATTTTGTAATACTAGTAGTTATAAACTTGAAGTGAGTGGTCTTAAGGCTAAATTATCCAGCCACTGGTTACTCAAAGCAAGTGATTGTAGTAGGTTGTTTATGTCTATCACTGAATGTTACAAGGGAGACAACTGTAACACAGAGTACACTGAATGTTAATTATTATGAAGAGAGCTACATACCAACAATGCCCACTCCTTGATCTTGTTGAGGATGGCGGAGGTGCCTTGGGGGATCCAGTTGTACAGGACGGTGCTGATCCTGAGGATCATCCAGCACACGTACAAACCACAGGCAGCTGTGTACAGTTCATGGATCTTAGCATCCCCCATCCACAGAGACATCAGCTTACGTCCGAAAAATACTGGCAACACAAACAGTTCAACATGCAGTGAGAACTCTTCATTTGTTGTAGGAATCTCAAACCAATTATATTGGTAGGACTCAATTTCTGCAATGTTTTACTTCAATAAACTTCATGTTTCTAGACATTTTATCTTGTCCTGTCATTATGCTGATAATGAGGGCATTGTTAAAGCACAGAAATTTGATCCAATGTAAACTGCAGAAGAAGTTAACAATTTACCAAATCTTCAATCTGACAGTCAGTTCTTTTATATCAATCATATATAAAACAGTGAAGTTTCCACTTGTCAGTCTACCTACCTGGCAAGACAAGTGACATAAGACTGGAGGCGAAGAGTGTCACACACATAAACATCACCAGTAACACGATCTGTAAGGGAGGTAATCATTATCAGTAACACGATCTGTAAGGGAGGTAATCATTATCAGTAACATGATCTGTAAGGGAGGTAATCATTATCAGTAACACGATCTGTGAGGGAGGTAATCATTATCAGTAACATTATCTGTAAGGGAGGTAATCATTATCAGTTACATCATCTGTAAGGGTGGTAATCACTATCAGTAACATGATATGTAAGGGAGGTAATCATTATCAGTTACATCATCTGTAAGGGAGGTAATCACTATCAGTAACATGATCGTAAGGGAGGTAATCACTATCAGTAACATGATCAGTAAGGGAGGTAATCACTATCAGTAACATGATATGTAAGGGAGGTAATCACTATCAGTAACACGATCAGTAAGGGAGGTAATCACTATCAGTAACATGATATGTAAGGGAGGTAATCATTATCAGTACCTTGATCTGTAAGGGAGGTAATCATTATCAGTAACATGATCTGTAAGGGAGGTAATCACTGCCAGTAACATGATCTGTAAGGGAGGTAATCATTATCAGTAACATGATCTGTAAGGGAGGTAATCACTATCAGTAACATGATCAGTAAGGGAGGTAATCACTACCAGTAACATGATCTGTAAGGGAGGTAATCATTATCAGTAACATGATCTGTAAGGGAGGTAATCACTCTCAGTACCATGATCTGTAAGGGAGGTAATCACTATCAGTAACATCATCTGTAAGGGAGGTAATCACTATCAGTAACACGACCAGTAAGGGAGGTAATTACTATCAGTAACACGATCAGTAAGGGTGGTAATCACTATCAGTAACATGATATGTAAGGGAGGTAATCACTATCAGTAACATCATCTGTAAGGGAGGTAATCACTATCAGTAACATGATCTGTAAGGGAGGTAATTATTATCAGTAACACGATCTGTAAGAGAGGTAATCACTATCAGTAACACGATCAGTAAGGGAGGTAATCACTATCAGTAACATGATCAGTAAGGGATGTAATCACTATCAGTAACACGATCAGTAAGGGTGGTAATCACTATCAGTAACACGATCAGTAAGGGAGGTAATCACTATCAGTAACATCATCTGTAATGGAGGTAATCATTATCAGTAACCTGATCTGTAAGGGAGGTAATCACTATCAGTAACACGATCAGTAAGGGAGGTAACCACTATCAGTAACACCATCAGTAAGGGTGGTAATCACTATCAGTAACACGATCAGTAAGGTAGGTAATCACTATCAGTAACATCATCTGTAAGGGAGGTAATCACTATCAGTAACACGACCAGTAAGGGAGGTAATTACTATCAGTAACACGATCAGTAAGGGTGGTAATCACTATCAGTAACATGATATGTAAGGGAGGTAATCACTATCAGTAACATCATCTGTAAGGGAGGTAATCATTATCGGTAACATGATCTGTAAGGGAGGTAATCACTCTCAGTAACATGATCTGTAAGGGAGGTAATCATTATCAGTGACATGATCTGCAAGGGAGGTAATCATTATCAGTAACACGATCTGTAAGGGAGGTAACCATTATCAGTAACATGATCTGTAAGGGAGGTAATCATTATCAGTAAGATGATCAGTAAGGGAGGTAATCACTATTAGTAACATGATCTTTAATGGAGGTAATCACTATCAGTAACATCATCTGTAAGGGAGGTAATCACTATCAGTAACATCATCTGTAAGGGAGGTAATCATTATCAGTAACACGATCTTTAAGGGAGGTAATCATTATCAGTGACATGATCTGTAAGGGAGGTAATCATTATCAGTAACACGATCTGTAAGGGTGGTAATCACTATCAGTAACATGATCAGTAAGGGAGGTAATCACTATCAGTAACATGATCTATAAGGGAAGTAATCATTATCAGTAACATGATATGTAAGGGAGGTAATCATTATCAGTACCATGATCTGTAAGGGAGGTAATCACTATCAGTAACAGGATCTGTAAGGGAGGTTATCGCTATCAGTAACATCATCTGTAAGGGAGGTAAACATTATCAGTAACACGATCAGTAAGGGAGGTTATCACTATCAGTGACATCATCTGTAAGGGAGGTGATCATTATCAGTTACATGATCAGTAAAATTCAGCACATTAGGATACTAGTTAGGTTTAAAGACATGCTGATCAATTGTTATGTTTAAGTCAGGAGAGTGGACGGTTACAAACACACACATAGATGTAGCCTATATAAAAAGGGAAAGTTGTTGAATTTGTTTGCTATCCAATAAATATTTTGGAACACACATTGTCAGTCAAGTATCCAATCAGAAACTTTGACTTAATGACTAGCTTGTTTAACGAAACTAAACTGAGTAGAAAACTGGAGAACACAGTGACCATTTTCAGTACAGAATATTTTAACATAAAGAATTATCTATCAGTTGATGATTACATTAACCTTTGACACTTTAATACAGACAAGTATTATAAAACCCTAGAATTTACATAAATACGTAAGTTTTTTTTTTTTTTTTGACATTTCACACGTAGTACAAATAATGTAGTTCTCACCCTGAAATAGAATAGCTGCGGTCGTATGTAGGCCTGAAAGCCTGTCGGTCCTCCGCCCTGTAGCATGGCTTGGTGAGCGGCCCCCAACCCTCCCCCAAGGCCTCCTCCCACTGCAGGTGCAGCGTTGTTGTTGGCTGGGGGCACCAGGGGTGCAGGAGGGTCTCCCTGGACCACGTTGTCCTGGAAATCACCACCATCAATGATACACCCATAAAGTCACAATATATTCTATAATCTAAATTGCTAACAACTAAAGAATTATGAAATTCAGATGTAATTTATGTTGATATTAACAGACCTTGTACACAGATTAATGTTAAGTTAATGTATTTTTACACAGGTTAATGTTCAGTTAATGTATTTTTATACAGATTAATGTTCAGTTAATGTATTTTTATACAGATTAATGTTCAGTTGATGTATTTTTACACAGATTAATGTTCAGTTAAAGTATTTTTACACAGATTAATGTTCAGTTAATGTATTTTTATACAGACTAATGTTCAGTTAATGTATTTTTATAATCAAAATTACAAACCAGGCACACTGAATCTTAAAACATATTTCTTTTTTCAGCAGCATGCTTTCTTGTGAACTACTTACCCCATCCTGTAAGGGAAGGTCACCGAGAAGGTAGGACCGAAGCCCTAACATAGAGGCCATAGCCACGGTCCAGCCCCGCACCATACCCTTCAGCCACATACGGGTGTGACCCTGCTCCAGTAGAGCTGGCAGGACCACCTGTAGCAGTAGTAACTCTAGGGACAGCTCACTGACTGGGGCATCACTGTAAGTAGCCATACTAGATTAGATTTATGATACAACAAACAAGAGGCCCATGGGCCTTAGCGGTCACCTGAGTTATGTAAAAACTGATGTTATCGATGTTGCCAAATGAAAAAGAAAACATTTTGTAACAAAGGTAACTTGAACTACATGTAATGCAAAAGTAGTGTGAAAGATCTGGGTAGTATATGTACTATGTACAAATAGTGGTTCTGTCAGTCAGCTGAATTATGGTAAAGCACGTTAAGACCCTAGAAAAACTATGCAAAATATCCCAATATTCAATGAATATTCATTTTTTTCTAATTTATGCAAATTTGAACTTGTTACCATGGCAACAATAATTAGAAATATAAATAAATATTTAGGAGGTATTTAAAATTAAAGAAACAGTCATTTCAAAGTTCATTTAAAGGTTTTGAATTTTGATGCATTTGGGGGCCAAAAACAGGCCCAAACCATACATAGTCCTTTACCCCCTCCCCAGGGGAAACGTGAGACCCCAGGGTCATGAAATTCACTATTTTGATAAAGTACCTTAAGACCCTTCCATCTATGAATTGTATTTGATTCTACCATATCTGGATCTTGAGAAGATGATTTTTGAAATTTTAGTCGATTTGATCCTTTCTGGGCCCACCCATCAGCCCCTGGGGGTCAGTCAGGGCTGATATGTGCATACCATCAAACTGCTATCAAATACTGATAATGCTAATCAAGTTTGAATTAATTCTGATGAAAATTAAATAAATGTTGATCCAAAATGTGATTTCCCTATATAAACTATAGTAAAATTTACCACTTCCCCAGGGGGAAACATGAGACCCCAGGGTCATGAAATTCACTATTTTGGTAAAGGACCTTAAGACCCTTCCATCTATGAAGGGTATTTGGTTCTACCATATCTGGATCATGAAAAGAAGATTTTTGAAATTTTAGTCAATTTGACCCTTTTTGGCCCCGCCACTCAGGCCCCTGGGGGCTGGGGACCATATATTTCACAATGTTGGTTGACCTTTGGCCATGGAAGGTTTCTGCAAAATTTCATTGAAATTAGGTCAGGGGTTATGGGGAAGGTTTCTGCAAAATTTCATTGAAATTAGGTCAGGGGTTATGGAGGAGAAGACGAAAATGTAAATTGTTTACAGACGCCGGACAAAAGGCGATCGCAATAGGTCACTTGAGACTTTGTTTCAGGTGACCCAATAAAATACATCACAGAAAATAGGGCTTATATACAAATAATGTATTAATATTTTATTTAATGTGAAAAAGCTAATGCAATTGTGACATCCTACAGAAAGGAGTAACAGAAAGTTGTCTTTCATAAACTTCATGTGATGAAAGACTAGGTAGCCAATAACCATTTTCCTTTTTCAAACAGAATTTTGCTGATTTCTAGAGATACTTTGTAATTATGAGTAAGAGCAGACCCGATATAACATTGATGTGATTGACAACTTGGGTGACATACCTGGACAGCATGACGTGGTAGGGAAGGAAACCTGTTAGCACTCTCTTTATCACCCGTACTGGCAGCCACAGCATCAGTAGCACTGTACTTCCAAAGATTATCTAAAGATGACAAACACATACTTAACAACCATTAGTGTCTCTATGTCAAATTCAATATGTATGAGGATAGTTTTCCAAATAAATAATACACAGTACTGTTTATAAAGCGTAAACAGGCTTATTTTTACTTTTATTACCTTAGACATGTACTTTACACAGTAAAACTGTTTTAGGTGTACCTACCACGGAGGCTATAAAGCGGCGCCCATGTCTGTATACTGGCAGGTGGATCATCTATATCGGAGAAATCATTCAATGTTTACAGAAAACCAAATACAACTGTATTATTTATTAAATCAAAAATTATTTCAAGTTGTTTAAAATATGTTTGCAGTACTGTATGTTTTCAATATAGGGATAGTTAAAATAGATCAACATAATTTTCTGCGATAGCCAAATTTTTTTACAGGTAAAATGCACAAATCTATCTTTTGATCATTACTTTTAAGAATCATTGGTTTCTAGAGAAAAAACCTCAAATTGATATGTTTGTGATTATCTTTATAACTGAACCATGACAATCACACAGTTGTATGGCATAGCAAGGTCCTATAGTATATAATATATGTTACACCTACCTCTTGTATTGGGTTGAACTCGGGATCATTGAGGTTCCTGAGGAACCAGAGTACGCCTGGCCTGAGGACCTCGCGCAGTAGGAGGATGAAGGAGGCAAAGTAGAACACATACACCATTCCCACCAGCCAGTGGATAAACATGGATGTCCCTGGTGCCAGGTGGAAACTGTTCTTACGGTCCTTCAATGTCGCATCGAACATTGACTGCACCAGAAACACGTTTGTTATAAGTCAAAATCATCACATCTTATAAGAGTACAAGGTATCCATTTTGAAATTTGAACAAATTAAAAATAAAAAACAGCATATTTTCAGGATCAACTTCAGTTTTCAAATTAAGAACTGCCTTTGTCACTAAAACAGGTGGTTGATTTGAATTGGTTTGAAAAATATGAATGTTAAGTCAGGGAGAGGAACAATTGAAGAAACTTACAAAAAACCTGGCAATACGACAATTGAAATGAAGCAAGAAATGACAGAGAACAAGCTAGACTTTTTCCTTTATTGAATCAAGTGTGAAAAACAACTGGTCATGAGAAGATCCTTTGAACCATTTTGGCTGATCAGATCTTGAAAAATGCTTGTCTCATTTCCCATATTTAACTATGCAATCTGCTCTCATGTGGAGGTACACTTCAAAAAAATGAAATCTCTCAGCCCAAGGATGCTCCGTACCAAATTTGATCCAAATTCCTTAATCTACATTTTAGGAAGCTGTCTTTTAAAGATAGCTCAGTATTTTTCTTTTATGGCTCGGCTCTATTCCCTTTATTTATACAACTTAAATTCCCTTGGGCAGATTGTTGTTATCTATGCCAAACATATCAAAATCTCTTTTAATGAGTCATCCACCCTTGGACTGCACCCCTCTGGCCCCAAACTGGCCAAAATTTTCATTGATAAAAAAGCTGATTCTTTTGCCTAAAGGAGACTTAAGAACAAATTTGGTTGAAATCAAATGAGCCGTTCAGGAGGAGTAGAGTTTTCAATGAAAGTTGACAGACAGGTAGCAGGCCTTGGATATGCTCACTTTGTCCTTGGCTCACCTGTGAGCTAAAAAAGACTCGACAATATGCATGCATATCCGTATCACATTTGTTCTTTCCTTACTGTAACACATATACTCACCAATGAACATACGTCCAACCACCAGCCACAGATCAGAGGAAACACTCCAATCTCTATGACTACCAGGAGCATCACCTTGACAACCACATAGCAAAGGCCCAGTACTCTTCTAAACCTGTAGTTGAAACAAAATACTTTTTAAACAACACTGAATATAATAATAAAACTGCAAAAACATTGCCACTACTAGCAATGATTAAACCATCAACTGATTCACTTCCTGGCAAAAAATACAAGAAATATATCCTTAAATTTCCCAAATAAATCAAATATCTTTTTAATTGCTATACAATTAATGTGAAAATAACATTTCACCAAAAAATTCCAGGAATTTATTTGATCCATGTATGATGCTAAAACAGGAAATCTTGACATGTTTGTGTTCTCCCAAATAATCAAGGAATGATTTCTTGATGATAAGGTCTTTCATATGATTATCACATTAATTGATATTTAAATTTTCAATGAAAATAAAATATCAGAAGTCTTTAATGTAGATACTTTTTGAGATAAGCAATGGCAAAAATACGGTAGATCCTGGTAAAAAAATATTGTATGTTTTGATTTTAGCTATAGCACACATCAGAGAGAATGATGAGGGAGACTTACTTTTTGAGTTTAGCTATAGCACACATCATAGATAATGACGAGGGAGACTTACTGTTGGAGTTTAGCTATAGCACACATCATGTAGAGAATGACGAGGGAGACTTACTGTTTGAGTTTAGCTATAGCACACATCATGCAGAGAATGACAAGGGAGACTTACTTTTTGAGTTTAGCTATAGCACACATCATGTAGAGAATGACAAGGGAGACTTACTTTTTGAGTTTAGCTATAGCACACATCATAGAGAATGACGAGGGAGACTTACTGTTTGAGTTTAGCTATAGCACACATCAAAGAGAATGACAAGGGAGACTTACTGTTTGAGTTAAGTTATAGCACACATCATGTAGAGAATGACAAGGGAGACTTACTTTTTGAGTTTAGCTATAGCACACATCATAGAGAATGACGAGGGAGACTTACTTTTTGAGTTTAGCTATAGCACACATCATGTAGAGAATGACGAGGGAGACTTACGTTTTGAGTTTAGCTATAGCACACATCATGTAGAGAATGATGAGGGAGACTTACTTTTTGAGTTTAGCTATAGCACACATCATGTAGAGAATGACGAAGGAGACGGCTATTACTACATAGCCAATCATGGTGGTCATCAGTCCTTCAAAGTGAGTGGACAGCGCCTGTATCAGAAACATCAACACATCATTATGGGAATTCCTTAAACATTACGGAAATGAAGACTTACGCAAACAATACGACTGAAGTGAAGGTACAATAGGGTACAAATTGATGGTTGTGGTCTAATGGTATAGTCAGAAAAGTTTTTGGGTCAAAGGTTTCATTATATTTTACTATTTACAGTGACCTTTCAATCCTATGAAATATATTAGCATAAAAATATTTATACCACTAAATTTGAAATCTGTGAAATGGTAGAAATTTTTCTACAGTGAAATGAAATGCTATGCACACTGTCTTAATGATGAAAACATCAATCGCTTTCAGACCTCAAAAATGTCATATTTTATGTTTGCTTGTGAAATATCAAATACAGATTGGCTAGAACTCACATCTAGTCATCATCACTTTGACAAATACAAGGTTTATTTTCACGAATACGCTGCATATACAGTACCTATTCTAGATTTTAGTTTGAGAAATTCAAAAGACTTTATGGCAGGCATATCAACTGTACAACATATCTATACAAGATTTTTTTTTAACTTTTTTGAAAACTGATTTATGTAAAGCTGTAGATCTGTTCGTTATGTTTAGTACATGTAGTACACATCTTACTTACAAAGTCATCCAGGTGGAGTCCTACCAGTGTGAAGTGGCCGATGTGGTAAGGACAGAAGGCTGCAAACACAACACTCACGTTATATACAACGCTAAAACATTACTTACTTTTAGATTCATAAATCAAGAATGTTTAAACTCTGTGTGGTGATGCTAAATATGTTTGGAATGAGTTTCACAAATGTATTTAGAATAGGAACAAATTCATGATTCTTTTTATCAAAATACTGATTCTGAACTAATACAAGTCTTTGGATCTTAACACCCATCATCATATTTCTTTAGTTCAATATAAATTCGATCTTTTATTGTATCTGTCAGATTGATGGTTATCTAAACATTGAAAACATCATCTGATATTTTTTTTTATCAAAACTTCATATTGCTGTGTTTGACAGTTTGTCTTTTAATTAGCTTATTGGTTTGACAGTTTGTTTTAATTAGCTTATTGGTTTAACAGTTTGTTTTAATTGGCTTATTGGTTTAACAGTTTGTTTTAATTAGCTTATTGGTTTGAAAGTTTGTGTTTTAATTAGCTTATTGGTTTGACAGTTAGTTTTAATTAGCTTATTGGTTTGACAGTTAGTGTTTTAATTAGCTTATTGGTTTGACAGGTTGTGTTTTAATTAACTTATTGGTTTGACAGTTTGTTTTAATTAGCTTATTAGTTTGACAGTTAGTTTTAATTAGTTTATTGGTTTGACAGTTAGTTTTAATTAGCTTATTGGTTTGACAGTTTGTTTTAATAAGCTTATTGGTTTGACAGTTTGTTTTATTAGCTTATTGGTTTGACAGTTTGTGTTTTGATTAGCTTATTGGTTTGACAGTTTGTGTTTTAATTAGCTTATTGGTTTGACAGTTAGTTTAAATTAGCTTATTGGTTTGACAGTTTGTTTTAATTAGCTTATTGGTTTGACAGTTTGTTTTATTAGCTTATTGGTTTGACAGTTCGTGTTTTGATTAGCTTATTGGTTTGACAGTGTGTGTTTTAATTAGCTTATTAATTTGACAGTTTGTTTTAACTAGCTTATTGGTTTGACAGTTAGTGTTTTGATTAGCTTATTGGTTTGACAGTTTGTTTTAATTAGCTTATTGGTTTGACAGTTAGTGTTTTGATTAGCTTATTGGTTTGACAGTTTGTTTTAATTAGCTTATTGGTTTGACAGTTAGTGTTTTGATTAGCTTATTGGTTTGACAGTTTGTTTTAATTAGCTTATTGGTTTGACAGTTAGTGTTTTGATTAGCTTATTGGTTTGACAGTTTGTTTTAATTAGCTTATTGGTTTGACAGTTAGTGTTTTGATTAGCTTATTGGTTTGACAGTTTGTTTTAATTAGCTTATTGGTTTGACAGTTTGTGTTTTAATTAGCTTATTGGTTTGACAGTTTGTGTTTTAATTAGCTTATTAGTTTGACAGTTAGTGTTTTAATTAGCTTATTGGTTTGACAGTTTGAGTTTTATTTAGCTTATTGGTTTGACAGTTAGTGTTTTAATTAGCTTATTGGTTTGACAGTTTGTTTTAATTAGCTTATTGGTTTGACAGTTTGTATTATTTAGCTTATTGGTTTGACAGTTTGTGTTTTAATAGCTTTATACTGGTTTAACTGTATAACTTACCAAACACCAGTATGAAGAGCGTGTTTAAGGACACCACCCAAAACACATGTTCCTGTAAGACAATTATAGACATTATATAACACCCAAAACACATGTTCCTGTAAGACAATTATATATATTATAGACATTATATAACACCCAGAACACATGTTCCTGTAAGACAATTATATATATTATAGACATTATATAACACCCAGAACATGTTCCTGTAAGACAATTATATACATTATAGACATTATATAACACCCAGAATGCATGTTCCTGTAAGACAATTATATATATTGTAGACATTATATAAAACCCAAACAGTACTCTATCCCAAAGCAAAGAATACAAATTGTAAAATGTTCCAGTTACAAACCTTCGTAAGTAAACCTAAACCTTTTTAAGTAAACCTAAACCTTTGTAAGTAAACCTAAACAATACTATAACATCAAGTCCACAAGTTCTAAGTGACCTAGATCAGACGTAAGCAGTTACAAAGAAAGGGAAACTATATCTAGTTTTAAAATGTTAAAACATGTATGATTCAAACATCCACGTTCACTTAAATACCAGAAACATGACTCCTGATATGTTTATTGAAATTGTATTTTCATGCCAACACTTCTACAAGTTAGAGATCAGACATGACTTACGAGGAACACCAGGGAGCCATCCAGACCCAGCAGCTGTGGACAGACACAGAAATATTTAAGTCGTTATGTCAATTTGAAAATAATTGTTGCTTATCAGAAGTTATAAAATTAATTCAACTGATGTTATTTCTTTTTGTTTACTAACAAATTAATAAAATGCCTTTACATTTATATTATCACTGGCAATTTAGATAACAAGTATCATCATGAAATTGAGTGTGTAGCACAAGTATAAACAAGTTAGTGAATAATTACTGTCTATTCCACTTTAAGGTTTGTTAAGATTACGTGATAACATTCAGCAAAATTTCGTTCATCACATAATATTACACTAAAGGAAAATTGTAAGCACTAATTTTTCAATTCCTAAACGATATTTGCTGGTTACATTATTATCATCATTATGCAACATTTAATTAAGTGAGCCCTATATAGCTAAAATAAGTCACACTGATCATGATGCACTTTAAAAGTACATTAGCTGAACTATCAGGCACTAACTACTGATGATCCTATGCCACCTGGCAACTACCTCCAAATGTGTGCATGCCTGTCTGTGTACTGGAGGCATATTAGAGTTCTGTTTATCATATATAATTATTTTTTTGTGGGATGACTCAATAAGAGTAATTACCGGTATCTGAAATTCTGTTGGACAGTTACCAAGTAATTACTGTGAGACAAGTGGAATAAAATGTCGAGTTATTTTTTTGCGGCCAAGCAACAAGAAACAATATAAGTAATTTACTCAAGCAAACAGTTACCCTTTCCCAGGTTAACTCCTCTGCTGCCCTGTCCCACTCTATAGGGTTCCAGTTGTTGTCATCTAGTGGAGAAACAAACCAATTTAGTATGTAAAGAAAGTAACTTTGGATAGATTATCTTATTTGACATGATGACATATCACATAAGGGAATAGTTAGCCACTAATACACTTGATAAAATATTACAGAACAAATACCAATAAAATCAATTCTCACATTTCTATATAAATTTAATTTCTGCTTTTTAAGAAAATAAGTATTTGTCTGTTGAATGTTTGTGTTTTTCTGTTCATACATCTGATCTAAATAATCTTCATGTAGTCTCTAACCTTGTGCTGCGTTATTGCCATTGTTACCCCCGTCCATGCCTCCGTCATCATCTCCTTCATCCTCATTGGCTGCAGGATTGGGCGCTGCCATTGGTGGGTTGTTTAGATCATTTTGATTAGCTGGTTGGGCTCTAGGTACTCCACCCCCTCCTAAATTTACTAAATTGTTGACTACTCCCCCATCCAGGAAATTCTACAAAAAGGACAATACACATGAGAAAACTCACACATATTACACAATGTTGGTTTGCTTGCTTCAGATGAAAATCTACATGAAAACAATACATCGGTTGAAGCATCATAGATTTCTGCTCATACAAACGAACACATCACCTACCTACCCTGGGTTGATTACACCCAGGGTTTTCCTGTTCTAGCCAGTCTATCCAATACCCACATCACCAATACCTACACTAGGTTGATTACCCCCAGGGTTTTCCTGTTCTAGCCAGTCTACCCAATACCCACATCACCAATGCCTACACTAGGTTGATTACCCGCGAGGTTTTCCTGTTCTAGCCAGTCTACCCAATACCCACATCACCAATACCTACACTAGGTTGATTACCCCCAAGGTTTTCCTGTTCTAGCCAGTCTACCCAATACCCACATCACCAATACCTACACTAGGTTGATTACCCCCAGGGTTTTCCTGTTCTAGCCAGTCTACCCAATACCCACATCACCAATACCTACACTAGGTTGATTACCCCCAAGGTTTTCCTGTTCTAGCCAGTCTACCCAATACCCACATCACCAATACCTACACTAGGTTGATTACCCCCAAGGTTTTCCTGTTCTAGCCAGTCTACCCAATACCCACATCACCAATACCTACACTAGGTTGATTACCCCCAAAGTTTTCCTGTTCTAGCCAGTCTACCCAATACCCACATCACCAATACCTACACTAGGTTGATTACCCCCAGGGTTTTCCTGTTCTAGCCAGTCTACCCAATACCCACATCACCAATACCTACACTAGGTTGATTACCCCCAAAGTTTTCCTGTTCTAGCCAGTCTATCCAATACCCACATCACCAATACCTACACTAGGTTGATTACCCCCAGGGTTTTCCTGTTCTAGCCAGTCTACCCAATACCCACATCACCAATACCTACACTAGGTTGATTACCCCCAAAGTTTTCCTGTTCTAGCCAGTCTATCCAATACCCACATCACCAATACCTACACTAGGTTGATTACCCCCAGGGTTTTCCTGTTCTAGCCAGTCTACCCAATACCCACATCACCAATGCCTACACTAGGTTGATTACCCCCAGGGTTTTCCTGTACTAGCCAGTCTATCCCTGCTCAAACCACCAACAATAAGGGCTTCGGAAAAACTTTTGAAACTACTTGCCCACCGATCTGGGAAGGAAAACTCCCCCTCCCCCTACTCCGGCGCTACACGCCTCGGACACTCGACCCCTTGTAAGCAAACACTCCAAAACATTATTTGCTATGCCAATGTTCCTTCTTTTACCTGTTGATTCATTTAATTTGTTTGTGTACGTTCACTTTGTTGTCCGTGTGTCACTGAAACGTTTGTGTGCAGCATCAGCTGTCTGCTCATGATTTTATAACTGCGTTAAATATAAGTTCTATTTTAAGAACGACGAGGACTGGATGTATATTTCGGGGTGTCTCTGCACTCATCCAGACCAGAAACCGCATGTTCATTTCTGGTTGTGTCGGGACTTGTAATAATGCAACCGCATCAGCATCTTATACCCACTGAGCGTGATAATTTTTAACAAATGGGTTTATTTATAATTTCAACACAATGAGAGCAAAGACATAAGTGGATTTTTACTTTGATATTTTGGAAAAGTACTGGTCCGCTGGACTAGTTATTAGTCTAAATCACCTGCAAAATCTGATTTCCACTTGTCATGGACGAGCGGACAAGTGGTTTTCCGGAGCCCTGCTAATACCTACCCTAGGTTGATTACCCCCGGGGTTTTCCTGTTCTAGCCAGTCTACCCAATACCCACATCACCAATACCTACCCTAGGTTGATTACCCCCAAGGTTTTCCTGTTCTAGCCAGTCTACCCAATACCCACATCACCATCGCCTACAATAGGTTGATTACCCC